CCCATGGTGCGGCGGAGCGGGAGCGGAGCGGCAGCAGCGGCGGCCCCGCAGCGCCCGGCCCGGCCCGACCCGGCTGCACCGCCCCCTTGGCGGCACCGCCCCCGCCCCGCCCGCTGCTCCGGGCTGCCCCTGGGCTGCCGGGGACACCCGCACTGCCCCTGGGCTGCCGGGGACACCCGCACTGCTCCCGGGCTGCCGGGGACATCAGCGGTGGCCCCCGGCCCTCCGCGTCCCGCTGCCCCCTGCTCTGCCCCCGCTGCTGCCTCCTCCTCCCACCGTCACTTTGTCACCCCCATCGCAAAATCCGCGTCCCCCTGGAGGCACGCGCAGACCCTGCGGAGTTTCCATAGAGGCCGCTTTAAACACCAGGCCACGCTAAAGGCGGGTTGCCCAGAGAAGCTGTGGCTGCTCCATCCCTGGAAGTGTCCAAGGCCAGGTTGGACGGGGCTTGGAGCAACCTGGGCTAGTGGAAGGTGTCCCTGCCCAGGGCAGGGGCTTGGAATTGGATGATCTCTAAGATCCCTTCCAACCCAAACCATTCTGGGATTCTAAGTTGAGGATGCTTGGAATGATTTTACTTTGTAAAGAAAACTAATTACCCGGTAACTCTTCATTAACAAAGCCCGTGGGATGCAGAGAGAGCACACAAGTCAACCGCTGCCTCCCTCTCCCAACACAAAAGCTGGGATGCACCACACAGAGTTACAAACTGGTTTGTGTTTGAGGTTATTCCCGGAGGATCCACGACTGTATTGGTTGTGCTCTGGATGGGGCTTGGAGCAACCTGGGATACTGGAAAATGTCCCTGTCTGTGGCAGGTGGTAGAATGAGATGGTCCTTAAGGTCCTTTCTGACCCAAACCATTCCATGACTCATAACTCAGTCTTCAGGGCTGTATCTTCCCACTCTTACCAGGAATGCTGAATGTTGCTATAGAATGCACGATTCCAGGATGAAGGATAAACCTGCACGAGCAGGCACTAAAATACGCATCAGTAAAGATCAGTAAATACTGCCCAGTGATCGAGCCAACTTCCTAAAACATGCAAGAGCACCAGTGTGCAGATCCTCTCACAGGACAGCACGGAACAGATACCCAAATTTCCTTGCCTCTGAATAATAACTTCAGTGATGCTTTGGACCAGCTGTGACTTTTTAAGGTATAATCTTCTGTTCTGCTGTTTTTACAGTGCTAATCCAACGATGGGCAGGGTGCCATCGTTACTGTGCCTCATATGTTTTGCATGGAGTTGATGAGCTGCAATGAATATGGATAGTGATGACACACTGGATAGTGATGACACACACATTCACAGTGATGGGAAGTTATGCATTTTAGCCTTGAACACTCTTCATTCAGCCTGCACACATCTGTCACTGGCTGTGAAATTGCTTCAGCAGAGCTCAGGTTTGCTTACGTGGGTTGTGGGGTCGGTACTTTAGTGCTTTGCCACTCAGTTGATCACAGGATGGGTAAAAATTTTGGGGGTGAATCTTTTTAAACCAACACTAAACTTGATCAGGTTTGAAGTATTGAAGATGATAGGTAACATCAAGTTCAGTGTTCTGCTAAAGAGCCTCCTTCCTTCCGAAACTCACACTCACTCTCTGGGCACAGGATCGTTGTACCGAAGAGTAATGGAGCAATTAAGCAATTGCTTAATTACCTTGAGGAGACCAGGCTCACCCAGAGCACCCCTGAAACGGCGTCTCACAAGTCCATAGATCTCTCAGCTGAGATATAACACTCCATGCACAGCACTTCTAGGGGTCACACGTGAATCAGGCTCTGTTATGGATACATTTAATGGGCTCTGCCCCAGAGCCCGCAGAGGAGGACTGAGGAGGAAACACTGTTTACTGCTGTGCATTTGAAAGGTGTTAACTCAGAGAATTCAGGCTCTGCTCAGTGTAGCATAACTTTTATCAAATGTGGCTGAGAAGCTTTTCGTAACACACAGTCACGTGGAATGTGCAAGTCAAGCTCCAGGAGCCTGGAGAGATAAACTGTGGAAAATTCATGAGCCATAAACTGGATTGCTATTCTGTCTCATCCTTTAGCAGATGAAAATATGCCAAATCCCAGAAGCTTTATACCCAAGAACAGATGCTGGCGTGTGCACTGAATGGGAAACTTCCCTGTCTAATTACAGCTAGGGTAAAAACAAAGTGAGAACTGAATAGTTTACTTAATTATAACATTTATACTTGGTACTACCTGCTCCCCAAGATCCCCAAGCATCTCACAGACGTTAGCTAATTAAAGGCTGTAATTTCCCTTTCAAGATAGGGAAATGCTGTGTTTTAATGGCAAGGCTTGTGTCCTAAGCATCTTCAAAAGATACCATGAGAAACGTGAACCAAGTCAGGAACAGATATAAATGATCCTATTTCTATCCTGCTTAAAAACAAAACCATCCTCTCTAGGATAAGAAATCCATGTTTTAGGCTGATATAACATCCACACTGCAGCTATCAATGATAAAGGAATACAATCAAAACAAAAATACCACCAGAACCAAGAAAAATACTTCCCCACATTTTCTGCTATGAAATCCTGATCTTTGAGGGTTTTTTCCCCTTACTCTCCCTAAAAGTTCCTTCTTTAAACACCTGTTTTGTATTATATCCCGAAGTTTGGACTGTATACTAAAGGGCAACGTGATGGAGCTCTGCCATCCCACAGAGAAAGTGAATTCCTGAGTGAGCAGGACCAGGAGAAGCACCTCCTGCCCACCAAAGGACTGAAATCTGTCTCCACTGCCTCTGTAATTTCCCTTGTGGCAGTGTGACACCAGGAGAGAGGTCCAAGCTGCCTCAGGCTCTGGACCCACGAGGCACCAGTGAAAGCCCTGGGAGCTGTAGTACCCATGAAGTGCAGTCACAGCCACTACACTGCCTTATTTTGTGTTGGCCTCCAGCTCTGGTTCAGGAGGGAGAGAGAAGGAGGTTGTCTCCACAATCCCTTCTTCATTATCTCCCTGCAGAGGGACTGTAATGGAACCCTGATGTGCCTCAGACACGAGATCCACTCTCAACACCGTGGGCACACCATGGAATGAACTCCAGTGGTTGTTGGTCTAACACATGGGCCTTAACCACAGAGCTGACAGGGTGCAAATGTGTCATCAGGGGGACTGGGAAATCTTTGCCACCTTGTTGGCTACTTCTCCTTGCCTGATTGCAAATGAGACATGCCAAGGAACCAGTATCTTTGACACGCTGCATAACAGCACTTGAGTGAGCCCTTTGCTTCAGAGGGAACCCTGTGTGTGCTCACACCCCCTGTGTGTGCTCTGCCACGGCCTCAGACACACAGTTTGTTAGCAAACAGAAGCACTTCAGTGAAATGTGTGTGAAATCCATTAGGAGAGATGATTAACTATCCCAAACTACCTTAGAAGATTTCCCCAAGGGAAAGGAGCCATTTTAAGCCCACTGACTTTGTAGGCAGGATAACAAGGTGCTGTTGACAGAGAGAGCTGCAAATGGAACAGAACTGTCCTGCATAAATAATAATTATCTACTGCTAGAGGAAACTGTTAATCATGATTGTCTGAAAGTCAAAATCAGGTTGCAGAGAGTAGTCCCAACAAGATGTGTCACAAGATAAAAACAGCCCTTTTCTCAGGACAGGCTGTTGGCTGAAATATGTTCTGAATCCTATCTAAGTAACACAAAAATGTTATCCTTAAGAGTTATTTTCAAAAGCTTGGAAGGAGGTCTGAAAATCGAGCTGCAGAAGATACTCCTAGAGAATTACAGCTGTTCAGGCTGGAGAACCAAAAATGACATTTTGATAAAATAGCCCTAAAAAGAAAGAGTTGGTTGTGCTTTAGCTACTACCCTGATTCTGAGGGACTGGCAAGAAGCACTGAGAACCCACCAACAGGAGAGTGGATTTTAATAGGTTCTTAATCACCGAGTCAGGTTGGAAGGGACCTTAAAAGATCATCTGGTCCAACCTCTCGTGGGAGAGGGAGTCTAATGGGATTATCTAACACCTCGTGCCATTGCATCCTGAGAACTTTCAGCAGCAGAGACTCCACCACACCCATGGGGAGGTTGTTCCAGTGAATGGTTGTTCTTGCTACAAAAAATATCCTTCTTATATCAAGATGAAATGAAAGGTATGGTGGGGTGGGGAGACAGTATATGAAGTGCTGCTTCATATATGAACTGAATGTTCTAGGGAAGAGATAAAAATGGTGTTTGTGGTCACTTATTAAAGAAAGAAATCAGATGAAACCTCTTTTTCTTGTAAGTGCAGAAAGTATTGATGACAGTCTGAGCTACTCATGAAGGAAGAAAAGCAAGGCAAAGGTACATTTCAATAGCAGATGATGGTAAAAATATAATTTTGTCTCTATCTTTCAAAGGTTTTGAGAATCAAAATATAATCAGGCTGCTGAGTGCACAACCTAATGCAGGAGGAGGCTTTGCTGGCTGCCTTCTTCCCTCCTTATTATCCTCTCAGTTATGTTTTATTGTCATTCAACATGTAAACAACATTCACTCAAATACTCATTGGATACCAGTGCTCATAAAATACCAAATTGTAAGTAACATTCATCATTCTGCCCTGCTTGGTTGCAAATAATTTATAAATGTCTGGGTTTTTCACTGAATTGAATCTGATACATAATCTGAGGCACTTTCCTGCAGTCAAACATTCTCATAATGCATTAATGGTGACATGGATCAGTAGATCTCCACTTGCATTGTAAGAATGTGTATATATATATATACACACACACACACATGCACTTATCCCATAGCAAGGCTCAGCCAGACATTAGCCTTGCTACAAATCTAGAATTTCCATCCTCGATATCCAAACAGGACACATCTTGTCCCTCCAAAAATAAATACTTTTGAGCAGAGAGGTTGAAAACTTGGGGTAAAAACTCTCTTTTCTTAGTTGTCAGAGGGCGAGGTGAGGTCATGAAAGCTTCCCTGTAATGAGGACTAGAAGTTTCTCTCTCTGTTGACACCTGAGATTAAAGACACCAGGTAAGCTTACCCAGAACTCCTCCTCAAAAATTAGGAGAACAGCACACTGCTAATGGTAAACTCTGGAGAGGAGCTCTGCTCTTTTCTTTCCTATCCATAAGTGTGTCTTAGGTTCCCAGTTCACAGGGAGTGCAACCAAACCCATGTAAGTCTATTTTGAGCAAGTTATAATGTTTATAATCAAATACACAGGCTGTTAGTACTTAGGCCATATTACCAAGTTGCACGTCAAGGCTGCTTTTAAAACAGATTTAAAACTGATTTGTTACAAATAAACAGATTGATGCAAGTACAGCTCTAGGCAGTGGCTGTGGAGAAGGGAAAGAGCTCTGCACACCTTGAGTACTTAAGTAAAAAAACTCCTCTGAAACCAGTAACTCCACAAGAACAAGAGACTTTGCCTTGCCTTAACTTTGTAATCATTACCTTCAAGCCCTGTGGTGAAAAGTTCCCCTGGAATTCTCCCCTCCCAGGTTTTCCTGCAGGAGTGCTGTTGGCCCTGTCACCTGCCGTGTCAGGACCCTGAGGAGAACACTGCTTTAAGTTTGCTCCTTTGATGTCAGCCTTGTGACTCTTTGAAGCTGGAGTCTCCTTTTGGAAGGCTGGAGGGGCAATGCTGGATCTGGAAGAACAGGAAAGAAGAGTTGTAGCAAACCCAACACCGATGGGAATCAGCAAGGGGGAAACTCTGGTTGTTAGGACATGTCACGGGACGTGCACTTGGGACAGGAGTGAAAGTTCTGAATAGGGATGCAAAAATCAGAAACTTTCAGATGTGGTTCTGGATTTTATTTCCTATAAGCAAGGAATCCTAGAGCTGAGAATCACCTCCAGCTGTTGCATACTCCATCTGCCTGTCCCAGTGGCCAAGAAATTAAACGGGTTTGTATATATGTAAATTGAAAAAAAAATGAAATAAAATACATGTGTGGAACTTTTCTTGTTTACTAAACACTCCCATCATATTTGGTAAATTGAAAGACCATTTTCTTCTCTGCTTAGTCACTAGTTATGAAATCTGGTAAGTGACACAGCTAGAGGTGCTCCTTCCTGCTCAGCTGCCATTAGAGGCTGTATTTTAATTAGCTAGGACATTCATGTCAAAGCAGTTAATGCACAGGCCTTTACAAATTCATTGTTGGAGCTCCCTCAGTGTCAAACACGACAGGTTGATTTGTCCCCTCAGGTAGAAATGGGGGTGGTGCACAGGAACCAGTAAATAAAGCACAGCTCAGGGCCCTTCCCACTGCAGGAGAGCAAACAACAAGCACAGCTCAACCTATTGATCTCAGCAGAAAATCCAGGAGGAAAATCCATCCCTTGGAGATCCAGGGGATTCTTTACCGCTTCAAATGGGCAGCCACACCTTCCTGGGAAGACAAAAGCCTTCCCAAATGTTGGAAATGAGTTTATGGGGTGGGATTTGCAGCCTGGTAACAGAGGAAGGCTGACATTGCGCTGTCGCTGAACAGACTTTAGTGCAGCAGGACACCAAATCTAGCAATTAGACCTGTCATTTTCCCTTCTTAACTAAGGAAACCACAGTGACTCTTCTTAGAGGAGTAAGAAATCCTACTTCCATTTGATTAACAAAGCTGTGACCGAAACTTGCCTCCCAAGTGAGCTGATGTTCCTGCATGATTAACTGCCCTGCAAAAGGACAGCAGGCGCAGGCTGCAGAAGCTGAATGATCCTGCAGACATGATTAATGAAGGAGAGGACTAAATCCCCACCACATCTGGATTTGCTTCTTCTGACCACAGATGGTTTTGGTTGCTTTTTATTCCGAGTATATTCATTAAGACTAAGCACGGGGTTTAAACACAGCCTTCCTGTTCCAAGGCTCCATTTTCCATGGAGAAGCTTCTCGTCAGGAGCCTGTCCAAGAAGGCATATGTAGCAAATGAAATGGGATTTGCTAAGCCATCTTGCACACTGAATGAGCTGCAAGAGTTCAAAAGGAGATGCACAAAGGAAAGCCGAACAGTTTGGATTTTTGATGTATTTTCCCTGCTCTGAAGTGATTGGTCTCGTCTGCCTCATTTTCCTTCCAGATAATTTTATAAAAACCTCAGCACTCCTAGGGTTTGAACTCACAGTAAATGGATCCCAAAATGTTCACAAGTTTTTCTGTTCATTAAGTTTGGCTGTTGAGAACCTAAGTCCATCCATCCAAGCCTGGCTTCTGGCAGGGGGAAGCCACACAACAAAGGACACGACGTGCTAATCTGTCAGCGGGGGAGGTACCTGCTGACCCCGTAATCCTGTTAGCATCCTGCTCCTCTCCACATCAGCTGCACTCACACAAGAATTTGCCTGGACAAAAGGCCATCACCTCCTGGGCAGCACCAGTAAATCCAGGAGGCATCTCAGGGCCAAGCAGGCAGCAAGAATCTTACCAATTAACAACTACTCTGATTATTTGGGTGATAATAATCACCAAAAAAACCCTGGGCACAGGGTTTCTCATTGTCCTTTAGGACAGCAAATGTAATTAACAAGTGTATTATGACCTCTACACTGATTTTCTCATGCTTGCTGCTCTAATTGCTAACATGGATAACAATAATCTGCTTTTTTAGCATGTTACCTGGCTGGGGTTCTCTCCTGCCTCCTTAACTATCCCACAGAAGAAAGAGCAGTGGCCTTGTTTATATAATAGAGATCTACTTAGAACTGATAAACTTTCTCAAGTCACTAGTAATTCTGTTTTCTTTTCAAAGCAATTTAGGTGTCAGTGTTTATTTGGCTTTTATAGGAAAGCATGACACTTATTTTAAAAACTGCTTGATTTCTGACAGATCCACCATTGCAAGTGCAGCTGTTTTGTGCTGCATGTTTACTGCATTAAAAGTGCCCTCAAAAAAAGATGATTTTATTGCTTTTCTGATGATGTGTAGCAGAGACCTGTATTCTCCTGGTTATTACCTGTGCAGTTCAACTTTGCCAGATTGGTTTTGACCACAGTCGGTTGCACTAATGTTTGTAAGTGAAATGCAACCATGGCTTTTCCTTCCTTTTCTATTCCATAATAAAGTTAGTATTTCCGTAGGCACTGGAATCCTCATTTGCCTGACATGAGAGAAAATAACAACATTCTTCTGTTATCCCAACTTTGAAACATGATGATTAGAAGCATTATGATAGATCACAGAAAAATCCAGCTTGGAAGGGGCTTCTGGAGACCATCTGCTCCAAACTTCTGCTGGAAGCAGGGCCATTGAGTTAGGCTGTCCAGGGCTCTGTCAAGCCAAGCCTTGAATATTTCCAGTGAGGGGAACTTTTACCACTTCCCTGGCAACTTAGTCCACTATTTAATTGTTCTCACAGTGGTGGGTTTTTTTTACGTAAACCCAGACAGAATTTCTGCTCCAGGCGAGTTGTTTGTATGAGTCTTAATGTGTTTTCCCTTGATGTGTTTAGATGCACAAATTGGCTCTTGCCCGTCTGAAGAACCAAGAGAAGAACCAGCAGTGGCCTTGTTTTATTTCTGATGCCACACTGGATGTTTCTTTGCACAGCCCCTGTAACTACTGCATAGAAATGGGGGCTTCCAGTACTCTGTCATTACCAGAGAATGCAGCAACACAGAAGTGGGCAGCAGGCTGAAATCAAGGGTGTTAGTCCTATAACAGCCCCTCACCCTTTTTAAAGTGAAGTTTTTGAGGAGTTTGTCTCTATGGTATAATTGAGCTGTGAAGGTCCCAGCCACTGGACTCCCACTTTGAGCACACACATCCCCGCTGAGGACTGAAAGCAGTGTGTGCAAACCAAACCTTGCAGTCCTGCCAAAAGTTACCTGGTACTTGGCACGCTGCCCAGAATTCAAATCTTGCAAAATTTTAGTCTCTCCATTTCTCCACTATTTCTGTAGCTATTTAAGCCACTGCCAATAAAATAAAGGGAAAAAAAAAAAGAGAGAGATGATAAAAATGTTTAGATTATGGGCTAAACACACATAATGCTCTGGCTACAGTTCCCTTCTCTTTCCCCAAGTACTTGAAATAAGAAGAGGAAACTCTAAAAAGAACCAGCAATCTAAACAAAGGTGGTGAGGTCAAACTCTCCCTTGCTCCTCCTTCCTTCTCTTTATCGCTGGTGGCCACTTGGCTGCTGGTCCCAGCTCAAGGCACTGCTTGCATTGTTAGGCCATGGACAAAAACAATGAAGCACAAAAAAGGTCTGGGGGAGGGCTCAGTGATAGCTTGAGCTATTCCAGACTTTTGCCTTGTGCAAAATGAAAGTCCTCTGAAAACAAGGAAAAGTAAACCAGAAAACAAGGGAAAAAACCCCAAAGTTTATGTAGAATCCTAGAATCCCAGAATGGTTTGGGCTGGGAGGGACCTTAAATCTCATTTCATTCCAAGCCCCTGCCATGGGCAGGAACACCTTGAACACTACCAGGGTTGGGGAGAATTTCTTCCCACCTAACCCTGCCCTCTGGCAGTGGGAAGCCATTCCCCCTTGTCCTGTTCCTCCATCCCTTGTCCCCAGTCCCTCTCCAGCTCTCCTGGAGCCCCTTTAGGCCCTGGAAGGGGCTCTCAGGTCTCCCTGGTGCCCTCTCTTGTCCAGGTGAACCTCCCCAGCTCTCCCAGCCTGGCTCCAGATCAACTCAGTGGCCTCCTCTGGACTTGTTCCAACAGCTCCACATCTCACTTGTGCTGGGGTCCCAGAGCTGGATGCAGCCCTGCAGGTGGGGTCCAGGAAGTACCAGCCCCAGCTGTGGCCACCATGGATGCCATTCCATCACTAGAGCGAGTTCCACAAGCGACAGCTCTGTCTGTATTTAGGTTTAGGAGAGGGAGGAAAAGCTGTTTTGAGGAAGCACGTTCTGTTTGGGGACAGGAGGAGTGGAAGTCGCTGCCACTCAGTGCAGTTCCCCTAACTGCTGGCTGTGCCATGGCAAAGGGAGTCAGGAGACCTGTCTGACAGGGCTCCAGTGTCCTGTCTCCTGAATGTTCCTCCTGTCTGCCAGGAGCCCTGTACTGCTACAGCCCTGAAAACAAACACAGCCCAAGCTGTAACCTCGGTGTGTGTTGCCTCATTCCATATTCTAGGAATGCAGGCAGCCAACGTTCACTGGATCAATAGAGAGTCTTTGTGAGGGAATTTTCCAGTTTAACAAGGAACTAGATCACTGTAGGGACTGGTATCCAGGGCTGTAACTGAGGTACTGGGGCAACACAATAAAAATAAGGGAAGCTGAACAGTTCCTGCCGAGCTTGCTCTCACACATCTACTTCCAGAGGAGTGGCAAAGATTATGCCCCTGACTGATCAAAGGCTGGAGATGCTGACATGAGTGACAGGAATCAGATTTTCAGTCCATGTTCATATATCCTGCCTGTAGCCATGAATGTGGAATGCACTAGCTACCAAACCCATGGATGCTCAGTCACCCACTAACTCTCTGAGGTTATGCAAAATATAACCTCAGCCAAAACTTTAAAGTAGCTGTTCTCTTCCTTTTTTATTGAGATGTTTTCACACCAAAAGTTACTCCTTGCTGTCTGGCGCCCTCTCCTGCACACTCGCCTGTGTAGGATGTTCTGGTGACAGAGAATCCCCCGCATCCTCCTCCTCTGGTGAAGTCTTTCCATACAAAAGTCCCTCCTGCCCCAGCACATCTCCCTGTTTTTCAGATACCCACGTTGTGACCACTCATCACACATCAGGAGGCTCCCAGGAAATCTCAGTTTAGCTAAGGAAGAGTTATCACACAATTAGTTTTCTTTACAAATTAGAATCATCCCAAGCATCCTCAACTTAGAATCATATAAACATAGAATGGTTTGGGTTGGAAGGGACAATAAAATTCACCTTTTTCCACCTCCTGCCCTGGGCAGGGACACCTTCCACTAGCCCAGGTTGCTCCAAGCCCCGTCCAACCTGGCCTTGGACACTTCCAGGGATCCAGGGGCAGCCACAGCTTCTCTGGGCAACCTGTGCCAGGGCCTCCCCACCCTCACAGCCAAGAATTCCTTCCCAATTTCCCATCTAACCCTGTCCTGTGGCAGTGGGAAGCCATTCCCCCTTGTCCTGTTCCTCCATACCTTGTCCCCAGTTCCTCTCCAGCTCTCCTAGAACCCCTTTAGGCCCTGGAAGGGGCTCTCAGGTCTCCCTGGTGCCTTCTCTTGTCCAGATGAACACCCCCAGCTCTCCCAGCCTTTCCTCATAGGAGAGGTGCTCCATCCCTCTGATCATCTTCATGGCCCCATCATGCCACCTTCAGCCTTCTTGCTGCTCCCTGTAGTAAGGGAGCAATAGCTCTGTGCCAGTGATGTCCCTGCCCTCTGTAGAGGCAACAAAAAGCTGACAGATTTGCTGGCTCTGCTCCAGCTGGGAATGTTTTGCACAGAAGGCCCATTGTATCTGCAGCACAGGGAGTTCAGAGAGGGGTGACTCGACCTCTGCCTCAGGTCGTCACAGCCTCAAACAGCAGTTCTGAGACTGAACCTTTGTTCCAGGTATGTGCTCTCTTGCCCTGGTGTGAGAATGAGTAGAGTGGTGCACCAACTGCCCTGCAGAGACAGAGGGTCAGGGCTTTCCTTTCTGGGTGGAAGGGCAGGAGCAATGCACTGAAACTGGTCATCCAGCTCCCAAAATTCAGTGCTTACCCTTCATCTCTCCAGGGCAGCTGGTGTGCCACTCTCAGAACTAAAGGGACAGCAAGAGCTTTCTGTGCTGGTGCCTTTCGTCTGGGAGCAATCTTCATCCGTATGGAATTTTGGGAGTTGGACTGGCAATTCCAATGCATGGCTCCGAAAAGCCAACAACAACCCTTATCCCCAGGAAAGAAAGCCTGGGACCTTTGGGTTTCAGGTGCAGTTGGTGGGTCAGCCTGGGCACTCCATAAGCAGCAAGAGCTTTCTGTCCTGGCACCTTTTGTCTGGGAGGAATCTTTGTCCGTGTGGAATTTTGGGAGTTGGACTGGCAGTTTCAGCACAGGATTCCTGAAAATGAAAAACACCCCTTTTCCACAGGAAAGAAAGAACTTACTGTTGTGGTTTCAGGTGCAGTTGGTGGGCCAGCCTGGGCACTCCATGGGCAGCAAGAGCTTTCTGTGGTGGCACCTTTTGTCTGGGAGGAATCTTCATCCATATTTAATTTTGGGAGCTGGACTGCCTATTTTGGCCCTAGGATTTCTGCAAGTGAGCATCAGCCCTTTTCCCCTGGAAAGAAAGACCTTACCTTTATGGTTTCAGGTGCAGTTGGTGGGCCAGCCTGGGCACTCTGTGGGCAGCAAGAGCTTTCTGTCCTGGCACCTTTTGTCTGGGAGGAATCTTCATTTGTGTGGAATTTTGGGAGTCGGACTGGCCATTTCAGCACAGGGCTGGAAAAAAGCAAACAACAGCCCTTATCCCCAGGAAAGAAAGCCTGGAACCTTTGGCTGTTAGGTGCAGTTGGTGGGCCAGCCTGGGCACTCCATGGGCAGCAAGAGCTTTCTGTCCTGGCACCTTTGGTCTGGGAGGAATCTTCGTCCGTGTGGAATTTTGGGAGTCGGACTGGCCATTTCACCGCAGGGCTCAAAAAAAAAGGGAAAGCTCTTGCTGTCCCTGTAGTGCCAAGAGTGGTGCACCAACTCCACAGGAGAGATGAAGGGTCAGGGCTTTCTTTCCTGGGTGGAACAGCAGTTGTTGGCTTGCAGGAGCCCTGTGCTGAAATTGGACATCCGACTCCTAAAATTTCATACGGACGAAGATTCCTCCCAGACCAAAGGTGCCCGCACAGAAAGCTCTTGCTGTCCCCTGGAAGCTCTTGCCCCCCTTATGTGGAGATAAAATATATAGTCCCAACTCCCACCAAAGACAGGGAATGGGGCACAGACCTTGAGGAGGGTATGAATTCCTAGAAGAGGAAGCAATGTGGGGCTCGCACCTAATCACCGTGTTTCTGCATCCTCCTCTCACGGGCTGATTGCCAAAGCACTTTCTCTCCTGTTTCCTTCCTCCTCGTTGGCTTTTTTACACTCTGTCAAGCAGTTCACACTGCTTCCTCGTCCCCACTCAGTGTTCCAAGACTTCTCATCATATTTTCCTAGTTTATCATCAAAAAGCTGCCAGAAACTAGAAATTATGTCTTAGAGAACCACACAAGGAATGCTTTGACTTTTGGCCAATGCTCTGCTGCAACGTTTCTGGTATTTGATCTATATGTTTTAGAAGGCTTTTTACTTGCAGGTTGGGGATGAGAAGTAGATGCCTGTTCTCAGTAAAAATTCACAGATACTGGCTATTCATTTTCTGTAGGTGCCTTGGAAAAAATCCTTCTGGACAAGGTGGCCTGTTTGACTGTTCTCTGATCAATGGTTACACAAAACCACTGTAAATTATTTCACAGGAAAAGACATTAAAAATTTGGTTTCAGCTGCTTTGTGGAAACAGCTGTGGACTCTCATTGTCCAAGAACTCTGTATCACTGACTCCTTTTGAACAGACTATTTTCTCTGTAACTGTTCCTGCTGGAGGTTAAGTGTTCAGGACCAGGACATGTGCTAAGCCTGGAAGTTTGTGAAAGCTCTTGCTCCATTTGTGCTGTGGATTTAGGTCCCCCCTCCCCGTGCACACCAACCCACCAGACTTCTGCTAAACAAACCATTGAAACCAGTAGGAAAAGGAACCCCGAAAGTCTCATGAATTGAAACTGCCTTGTGGAAGATTTACTTCAGCATACCTGTTCCTGCAGCAAAGCAGGGAGTTCTGTGAAGAATACAGAAGAATGTAACAAAGCTTCCAAAAATGCCTGCTGTTTTATGGGAGTAGAACTTTTGGTATCTATTGACAGTTTCATCCCACTATCCCTTAGCTTGGAACTCCTTTTAAACAGTATTATTTAAATGGCTTCCATGGTTTGTTTTAACTTGTTTTTTTAAGGAAGTGTT